TCAGGGGTCCAAGATTATCTTCTGTGTCTGTGTTAATTGGTTTCCCTTTTCTTTGTTGAAGAGGGTCTGTGCAGTCCTTCTGCCTAGTCCGCCATCTTGCCGGAACTCAAGGCTGTAATCTTTACGGAAGCAGGCTGCCACATGTTTCTCCCACAGAGCAGCTGGTGGATTTGAATGTTGACCTCTTAAGTTCGCACCCAAGTACTTAACCACTGTGCCACACAGGCTCCATGAAGCTGTTAATGGATGGACTTAAATGATGATTTCAATATAAAAGGACATGAGGAAATTCACCCAACTACTGCTCAGAGTATGAAGTATCTCCCAAACACTAAGGCCCATTCTAGCAGGAAGGATTCAGGCACAGTTTCTGGCCTGTGAGCTTTCAGGACAGTTGAGGTTATAGATAAGCAATTCCAATCCAGAGTAGAGATCTAACTGAGGCTGGAGGAGGAAGTGCTATTTAAGCAAATGACCCAAGGGTGCTGGTTTTGAGAAGAAAAAGAAGTGTCCCTAGATGTCGTATTTCTAAGCATGTTAAAGCATTGAACATTTGGGGAAATGAACATAGTTCAGGCTGGGATGAGAGTGAGCAAAGAATGACAAGCAAAAATGATAGGTTTTATTGGACATTTTCCTAAGGGTAACTGGCAGTTGCTAAAGGGTTTTAAACAAGTAGATAGGATTTATCTTTAGGAAAAAAAAAAGTGAATAAAGAATAAACTCACAACAAAGCTGGAAAACAAAAAAGGATACCAATAAGCAAGTTAGAATTTATGAGAAATTCCTGGAGGAAGAAGCAGATGAGACCATATTAATAAGAAAGGATATATTATGATGTACACCACAGCTTAAAGGTGACAGAATCCTCCTTCCATTTTAATAGAATGGATAGTAAAAAAATTTAAGTTCACCTGTGGTTGAGCTTGTTGGTTTGGAGGTAGGAAATGGAATTCCTGTTTCATGGCTTCTATTTTCTTGATGAGATTAGAGGCAAAGATTTTTGCTTAGGGTATGAGACTGGGGGTGGTGAACAGGGATAGAGTTTTGAGGAAAGAATATCTGACCACCTCCATGGACGCTAGAGACAACTGAGAAGGGGAAGACTACCAGACAGCACTGAGCACTTAGCCAAAATCACAGACCAGAAGAGAGGAGTGGTAGGAATCTGCAGAGCTGTGTGAGTGTGAGTTCACTCAGCACAGGGCCCCTTTTCCAAGAATATAGGTTCCAAATATCTTATTTGTTTCTATCTTTAGAATCAATGATCATACAGAACAAGGATTGGCCTGTGAGCCAAGAAAGGATTTTATATCTGTGACTGGTGCAATAAAAAAATAAAAATTAGAAAAAAGAGATTATTTTGTGACATGTGAAAATTCAAATTTCGGTATTAATAAATAACATTTTATTGGGATACAGCCACGCTTAAATGTTTATGGATGCTTCCATGATGCTGAGTTGAGTAACCAGTTGTAACAAAGACCACTGAGGCTTACAAAGCTGGAAATAATTACTCTCTGGCCCTGTATAGAAAAAGCTGCCAACCCCTCATAGACAACAAAATTGTATATGGAAAGAAAGGTAAAGAAGGCATCAAAAAAGTTAGCTGCCAGGTCCTAAAGATTAACTGTTGGCACATTAAAAGGGAGAAACACTTGCTATTTCCATTATATCAAAATATAACGCAAAAACTCAAACTCAAATCTGCCATTTCTGACTCAACACAGTCATACATGTCTAGTTTATTCTTAATGGATTACATTATTAGCAGAGACTGATGGATAATCACCAACAAAATCAAATTAAGAAATTATCTTCCCATTACATTTCTCTCAGACTGATTAGAAAGAAGAAGAAAGAGAAGAAAAACCAAAATAACCCACCAAACAAAAAACCAATGGGTCAATAAAAATTGTACATTGCTATAAAACTCTAAGGGGAAAGCACCAAAAGTCACCTTTCTGATTTAATTCTAGGCACAACCGTAGCAGGTTCTCTGTATTTCTTGAGGTAAGCCAAAAAATTGTGCTGAGTTCAGTTCTTTTATAAATATCAAATTAAGCTTTTCTATTTGAGCCCCAACAGACTTTTAAAACATTTCTGTTTATTACTACTTACATCCTGACACCCAACTCAACTGCATTGTTATTCTAACGAAAAATAAAAAACTATGACTTTAAGAAATAACACAACCTCACTCTTATACCTTCCAGGACAGAAGATTTTTATCACTTATTGAAAATGTTTTAAAACGTATTTTTGAAAGTTACAAATGCTATCAATTAAAGAGTTGATCAAAACTGTCTCTTGTTTTGGCTTACATTAACATCTAAAAAGTATCAAAAGTTAATTTGCTTAGAATTTACAATACTTTTGGACTAAAGCAACTCCTAGAGCTGTACTTAGTGGTAGCAATATCACTATACAATGGCACAGCTATAAAATGGCACATGTTCAGTTTGAAAACTAGAAACTTTAATTAAGTATGTCCTTTACTGGATTTAAATCTTTAGCTGGATTTTAGTTTAAAGTAGGCTTTTAATATGTTTAAATAGCGTTGTTAAGTAACAGAAAACACCAAAAGTAGGAAAAAAAAAAAAAATGAAGAAACAATGTGAGCAACAGTAAGACAATTAAAAAAAAAAAAAGTAAAGTAAAATTTGTTAGTATTTTCCCATAGTCTCCCTTCAACATCTCCCTCTCATTTAGGTTAGAAATTCTCTTGTAGACACTTGATACCCTAAAGGAAGAGACTAATAAAGTTTCACCACTGTCAAACACATTGCTGGAAACAGAATAAAGGAACACATTTTTATATAGTACTAAATATCAACATAAACCAAAATTTTAGAATACACATGCACATTACGCATTAAATATTTAATCAAATATATTTTAATTGACATAAAAAATGGAACAAAGTTCTGAAAGTCTTTATGGATTATTTCTAATATGCAAAATGCTTCTTTATTTATATTGCTATTAACCTATGGCTATAGTCATACATAGTGTATGCTTTGGTACTTTGCTTTCTACTTACCCCAACTGGTGCCTTTACAAATAGTACAAAACTCTTAGTAGTACAAAACTATATCCACCCCTGAGTTACAATGCAGTATAATTTCTTGCATGTCTCTCAAGAGTGGTGCTTGTTACTACTATATCCTTCAGCTTCCAATCTGGGACAATTTTAACTTTGGAAAAGCTTGAATGGTTACAGAGAACAATTTCTAAATTATATGCCCTATCAAACAATTTCTATCATGTGTGAAAATATCACTACCAATATGGGGTAATAATAAAAACATGGCTTAGAGTTGTTTCCTACCCTTCTGCTTTTTTGGGCTACGTAAAAGTGATGTAGTGTAGACATAAATAATCTGAAATACCAAAACATACCTTGCCATGAGGATCAGCAAACATCCTTGTGAAAATTTCACACAGTCTTTTCAGTTCAACTCGACTGTTAAAATAATAAAGTGACTAATTAGTATCTTGTGGTAGGAAGAAGTCATTTATGGGTAACACTATATGTAATGAGGATTTATAGAAAAATAAAAACAAAAAAGAGGAAAGTATCAGCCTTCAAAATTGAGAAGTTCTTGGCATTTACTAGTCAGGGTTAAATGCAAAGTGAATTAAATGCAATGACATTTAATAACATTCTGTTATTATGTTAAAGTTGAAGGTTATATAAAAAGAAATATAATCACATTTCAATAATGTAGCACAGCAGGAACCTCACAAGTGACATTCCCAGAATATGAATCTCATCATTTGTAAATACCAGAATGCTTTCTTAAATTTTGCCACTTAGTGCTAAAATCTTTCTGAAATATTATGCCTATCACCTCTGCCATTTAAAATGTATACTGAACTTAGTATTTATCCTAATCCTGATGAGGATGGGAACAATACTCGACAATTTATTCAATAGTTCATTGAGTATGATACATACACATAAAAACACACTAGGTGTTACACTAATAAACACTTACAGCTCAAATATTTCTTGAAATAAATAAATAGCTAGTACATCAAACTCTGACTTTATAGTATTAAGTCAGGAAGGAGCCCTCCATATTTCACCAGACTAAAACCTAGGAAACATATGAAACAATTAAAAAAAAAAAAAACAAAAAACAAACTTGAGGAATGTTCAGTTTTAAGGATCTTGATAAAGGTGTGCTTCCATTCATTTTAATAAATTTCTGCACACATGTATGTTTTAAAATCCAATAAAAAGCCAAATCATAAACAAACCCTTAACTTGGAATACACATGTTGTCGTGTGCCATCAAGTTGATTCCAACTCATGGTAACAATATATGATAGAGCAGAATTTCCCTACTGTATGTCCTACACTGTGATTTTCATGGATCATATCTCAGCAGGTCCTTTATCCCACAGGGAGGCTGGTGGGTTCAAACCTTCAACTGTTTGGTTAGCAGTTGAATGCTCAACCATTGAGCTGCCAGAACTCCTCGAATATATACAGGTAACTCTGTATTGTGTAGCCCCTTTGAAATAGTACTGATACATCCAACAGTTATATATGTATCATTTCATAAAGAACAACACAAAATTTACCATCCTTAATACCCAATACTTATAGTCACTTAATGTTCTGGAACACAATGATTTAGAAGGCAAGTTTTTGTTGCCAATGGCTTAAACTTAAGCTTTTTTTTTTTTTTTTTTTGCATGGACCATTGAGTTTTATTATTCCACCAAACCAAGATTTGAACAAGAAAAAATGAAATAAACACTCAACCTAATATAAATTACTTAAGTACAGGTATAATTTGTTTTACTAAGCTTCGCAGCTATTTCATTTTTTGCAAATTAAAGTTTGTGGCAACCTTGCATCAAGCAAGTCTATTGGGACCATTTTTCCAATAGCATACGCTCTCTCTGACTCTCTGTGTCACATTTTGGTAATTTTCATATTTTAAACTTTTTAATAATGATATTGCACAGTTAAAAGACTATAAAACCAAAAACTAAACCCAGTGTCATTGAGTTGATTTCAACTCATAGTGACCTCCATTGGGTTTCCAACGTGGTAAATCTTTACAGAAGTAGACTGCCCCATCTTACTTCCACAGAGCGACTGGTGGGTTTGAACTGCCAACTTTTGGGTTAGCAATCAAATGCCTTATTTGTTACAATAAGTCACAAAATAATTAAATGACTTATTTGTTACAAAACCTTTTTTTTTTTCTTTTCAAATTTTCATTGTGATTTGGATGAAAGCTTAAAGAGCAAACTCATTTTCTTTACAGCGGTTCATACACATTTTGTTTCATGACATTGACTGCAGTTCCCCACAGTTTAACAACTCTCTTCCCACTTCCACCCTGTAGGACCTCTTCCCTGTGTCCTTCTTTCCTATGGATTCCTGCCCCTTGAGCTATCGCCTTGTGCAAATACTGGCTTTTTGTTCTCCCATGATTGATTGTTGTAAGGAATGTATAATGTATCTACCTGATGTAAATGTTCACCCTATATGCCTATTGTTTGGCTGGAAGCCATGGGAGTGAGCTTAATTCCAGGCCCGAAGAATAACTAGGAGCCATAGTCTCAGGGCTCTATCAGACTAGTAAACCTGGTCTTTTTAATGATTCTGAGTTTTGTTCCACACTGTTCTCCCACTCTATCCAGGATCTCTTAAACTGATCCCTTTCCAAGTCATTGACAGTAGCAGCCAGGCATCATCTAGTTCTGGTCCCATGGTCACATAGGCTGAGGTTTGCATGGGCAAAAACCTTTTTTGAATAATATAAATGACAACTACACACATGGATTTCACTGATATAATACACAGATATCAAATTGACTACATCTGTGGAAAGAGATGATGGAGAAACTCAATATCATCAGTACAAGGACAGGGACCAAAGGTGGAACACAGCATGAATTGCTCCTTTGCAAGCTCAAGGTGAAGGTGAAGAAATTAAAACAAATGCAAGAGCCAAAATATGACCTTGTGTATATCCCACCTGAATTTAGAGACCATCTCAAGACTAGATTTGATTCACTGAACACTAATGACTAAAAGTAGATCAGTTATGCGATGACATCAAGGACATCACACATGGAAAAAGCAAAAGGACATTAAAAAGACAGGAAAGAAAGAAAAGACCAAAATGGATATTAGAAGAGACTCTGAAACTTGCTCTTTAATGTACAACAGCTAAAGCAAATGGAAGAAAAGATGACGTAAAAGAGCTGAAAAGAGGATTTCAAAGGGTGGCTCCAGAAGACAAAGTAAAGTGTTATAATGGACACGTGTAAAGACCTGGAGTTAGGAAACCAAAAGGGAAGAATATGCTTAGCATTTCTCAAACTAAAAGAACTGAAAAAGAGAGAAGCCTCAAGTTACAACACTGAAGGATTCTATGGAAAAAAATCTGAATGAGGCAGGATGCATCAAAACATGGAAGGCATACATGGAGTCATTGTATCAAAAAGAACTGGTCGACAATCAGCCATTTCAGGAGGAGGCAGATGACCAAAAGCTGATGGTATTGAAGAAAGAAGTCTAAGCTGCACTGAAGGCACTGGGAAAAAACAAGATGCCCGGAACTGACCGAAGACCAAATGAAATGTTTCAACAAACAGAAGTAACACTGTTGGAGATCACTCCACTATGCCACAAATGTAAGGGAGCTACCTGGCCAACCAATTGGAAGATATCCATATTTGTGCCCATTCCAAAAAAAGGTGATCCAAGAAAATGCAGAAAATGTTGAACAGTATAATTAATATGACATGCAAGTAAAATTTTGCTGAACACAGTACAAAAACAGTTGCAGCAGTATATCAACAAGGAATTGCCAGAAATTTAAGCTGGATTCAGAGGACATGGAACAAGTGATATGACTGCTGATGTCAGATGGATCCTGGCTTTCAAGCAGGGAATACCAGAACAATTTTACCTGTATTTTAATGACTATGCAAAGGCATATGACTGTGTGGATCCCAGCAAATTATGGAAAACACTGTGAAGAACAGGAATTCCAGAACACTTAATTGTGCTCATGCAGAACCTGTACACAAACAAAGAGGCAGTTGTTTGAAAAAAACATGAGGATACTGCATGATTTAAAATCGGGAAAGGTGTGTGTCAGGGTTGCATCCTTTCATTATACTTATTCAATCTGTATGTTGAACAAATAATCTGAGAAGCTGGACTGTATGAAGAACAACATGGCATCAGACTGGAGGAAGATTCATTAACAACCTTGGATATACAGATGACACAACATTGCTTGCTGAAAGTGAAGAAGACTTGAAGTATTTATTGATGAAGATCAAAGACTACAGGCTTCTGTATGGATTACCTCAAAGTAAAGAAAACAAAAATCCTCACAATTGGACTATCATAATATAGGGAAAAAACTGAAGTTATCCAGAATTTCATTTTGGTTGGATCCATAACTAATACCAAAGGAAGCAGCAATCAAGAAATCAAATGATGTATTGCATTGGGCCAACCCACTGCAAAAGACCTCTTTAAAACGTTAAAAAGCAAAGATGTTGCTTTGAAGACCAAGGTGCACTTAACCCAAGCCATGGTATTTTCAATCACCTCATATTCATCTGGACAATGATAAGGACGGCTGAAGAAAAATTGATGCATCTTAGCTAGAGTGTTGGCAAAGAATATTGAATAGACCACAGACTGCCACAAGAATGAACACTTCTGTCTTGGAAGAAGTACAGCCAGAATACTCCTTAGAAGTGAAGATGGTGAGACTTTGCTTTATGTACTTCTGATGTATTATCAAGAGGGATGAATCCCTGGAGGATCACATTGGTAAAGTAGTGGGTTAGTGAAGAAGATGGACTCACACAGTGGTTGCAATAATGGGTGCAAGGACAGTAATGATTTTGAGGATGGCCCAGGATGAGCAATGTTTTGTTCTGATGTACATGGCGTTGCTATGAGTTGGAACTAACTCAACTGCAGTTAACAATGATAACAATGCTTATATTCAAATCTCTAAGAATAGGTCTATATGTAATTAGGTTTTATAGACTCTGAAAGTACGTCCTTACAGGAATGGAGCACAGAGGTTTTAAACATTATACAGATAAGTACAATGGAGAATACAGGAGAAGAAAGCAAGCAAAAGCCATCAGGAAAGGCAACTAAAACAAAAGAACATCAAACAGCTTCTTTCCTTGGGGGAAATTCACTCTATTTTATCTTGGACATACTACATGAACACTGAGAATATAGCTTCATTTCCAAAAGAGCACATACACTTCATTCTTCTCAGTGAAAAACTTACCAGGAATGAATTTTAGTAAAGTGGTCAGTTTTCCATCAGTGCATTTTATTACTTACTCTACTTTTTAAAGATAGTAACTTTTAAAAAGGAACTAGTATTTATGAATAAAAAGTTTCTTTTAAAAATATTTCTTTAAATAGAACAAGTGAATTAATAAGAAAGTTAGTGAACTATAGTGTAGACATTATAAAGGACCAAGGCTTGGGAAAAACACTTTGATACCACTTTCTGAATTTACGACAAGTCAGGGTAGTCTTGTCTTCTACCACTATCTCTAAATTTTTATGGAAATGAAATGAAGTCAAAGGGTACAACCATGGGAGCAACAATCATTTTAAGATAACATATCTCACCTTAGTGTTCTCTGATTTTTCAGTAAGTTCTGCAGACCCAGAAGGCCTTCTTTCCTTTCTGACCAGTTAGAACTAGCACATCGATTGAGGACCTCTGCCACATCTTCTGTTTGCCTCATGTATGTTGGAATACTACCATTTCGAGAACTATAGGAGCGTTCTGAACAAGCACTAGACGCATCACTGTTGGCATCATCATCTGAATGCATCCCATATGATTCGTATCTTCTTCGAGCAGGTTTTTTCTGTTACACATAAAGAATCTCATTAGTGGTAGCTAAAATAATATTTTGATAGCAATCTATACTGACCACGAAAGGATTGAGTTTTGCTTTAAAAATCAGCACAAAGTATGCTGCTAACCACTGTAATAATAAAATGTCAATATTTAGCTTTTCTTCAGAAAATCTGTTTTAAAAGTTAGTAGATGATAAAATATCCTTTAAATATGCAAAGTGGTATAAGCTGAACAACACTGTATGAAAGTTCAGATATGTGGAGTGGGAAGTGCTCAAAAATGTGGGTCTTTTCCTTTTCTTCTTTCACCTTTTTCTTAAGGAGAACAAAGAAACGCTGTTGCTGTGTGCCACCCAGTTGATTTCAACTCATAGCGACCCTACAGGACAGAGTAGAACTGGCCTATATAGTTTCCAAGGCTGTAAATCTTTATGAAAGCAGACTGCCTCATCTCTCTCCCGTGGAACAACTGGCGGATTCAAACCACTGACCTTTCAGTTAGCAGTCACGAGTTTTAACCACTGTGCCATTAGAGCACCTTCAGGAAGAACTACTAGGATGTACATCAACAGAAATTGTACTAGAAGTTAAGTTGATAAGAATAAAATATTACCTTTTTAAAAAGGATGAGTTCAATGGATTGTAAAATTCACATTTTCCCTTACATGAGGTTCTATCATATCCCTCCTCTCAACCTTCTCTTTCCTCTTTTCTCCTTTTACCTCCTCAACCATTTCTCTTGCCACGTTTCCTTGCCTTGTACCCAAAATACAGACAAAGAATGATACAAGAACCTGTTCTGCTTACTACCATTTTTAGGATGCAAGCTCTTTGAGGGCCCTTCCATGCTTTTCTTAATGTATATGTATTGTCTACTTCAATAAATATGAGAAAGCATATTCAGATTCCATTTCTTATAACTAAGGCTAGTCATTTAATACACAAAACTGCCAACTTTATCTTGCACCTTAACAGTGAAATGAGAAAGGATAAATAGCTTATTTAAGATTTCCTTGGACAAGTTAGAAATAAATCTTTATGTAACCTGAAACCTTAATTCAGGTCAGTGAGTGGGGAAGGCATTTCTACAGAGTATATTAACATAATAATTGAAAACAGTTCTAAGTAGCTATATTCTCCAAAATCTAAAATAAGAAAGAAATGTGATTTGAACTTAATATATAATAATTCTATAATGATGTTTCTACTACTAAAGGCCCCAGATTGATTTAGGGTCTGCAAATTGAATTTTCTTTACAAAATTAGGTGCCCAAATTTAGAATGGTAATGTTGTGACACTTCTTGTACTAGAATCCAGGATCAGTTTTGTTATAAACTTCAATGTTAATGACTTCACCTCTTCTGTATGAAGTAGTCAGCCATAAGGACCAGCACCCCACACGACAATCTATTAAAGCAGTAATTCCTTACTGATACTCATATGTACAGAAAAAACAGACATAGCTCTAAGAATTATTACTTCCACTTTAATTTTTACAGAAGACTATCACTGTTAAACTGATGAAGCAAAAGAAATAAAGGTTATGGAAACATAAGATGTCAGAAAATATTAATGTCTATACCTTAGTCCGTATGTCTCCTAAGAGCTGAGAGCAGTAAATTTTTAAAGAGAAAAATTGAAAATAATGAAGAACATTTTGCTACACAGCATAGTGAAGTAGGCATTATTAGCCCATGATGAGAAACATTAATTTTTTTAACATATGGATGCAAAAGAACTGCTTATTAGCAAGATGTATCTTTAATCTTGCCAATATCCTTTAGTCCAAAGAGAAATGTCTAATCAACAAAATATTCCTATAACCACTTTTCCCAAAGTAATACAAGTTTTCCTCTCTGATTTCATTTGTCATTTTCAATGTTAATTCTATGATTTTCCCCAGACCAAATTAGGCTTACAAGGATATCTTTTCCTAAATATTGGTAGCCGTAACTGGAGAATTTATGGTATGCAAGTAAGAGTTGACAGAATAAAGCTACTGAGATTTAGATTTCAGCCTTTGTGGTTTAAATTTTCTCCATATAACTTACATATAATATTTTAGTATATAACCAATAGTTCAAGAATAGCCCATCCAATTCATAAAACTATGTAAGCAGAATTTAACTGAGAAATCATCCAATTAAAACAAAACAAAACAAATGTTATTTGAGACATATATTGATGAAGAACAGTAAATTTGAAGCACCTGACAAATTTAAATCATCCAAGATGTGATCAATATATCCCTTGCTCAAGAGAATAAAGTCCCTACTTGTATTCATTTATATATTAAAAACACATCAAATGGCTTATGTAAAAAGGAAAATTCAGCAGACATATAGTACCAGAGCAGAACTAGCATGTGATTAAATTTAATACATTATAGCTAAGACCCATGAATTCTTTCAAAAGTCAGTTTTCAAATTTATGAGGCAAAAGTTTTATTCACACTGGCTAAGGAGTGATCAACAGTTTTAATGGGAATATTTTTTTTTAATTTCAAAGTAAAGACAAAACCTTTTATAAGTTCTGGTTAAGAAACTGAGTAAATGCTTCTGAAACATAGGTCTAAGATTATAATTTGAAAAAAAAAAAATGTCATACTGAACTGATTTGAGAAATTGGCAGAAGTGAACTGTAAACATTATTTCAAATGACACTACTTTCAGAATTTAACAGAGAAAAACTACAGTGATCTGTGCATAGCACTCTTCAGACAAACTACCATGTAACTAACCGTAGATTATTTTTAAGCCTCACTGCTTAACATGTTGGGCATCAAGGACCAGGAAGATATTTTAGTTGTAATTTGTTTGATGCTATTCTTTCTCTCAGACAATGCATATTCAGAGTAAATAAAATCTTCTCCCAAACAAATACAATCCCTAAACATTCAAGGTAAAGCTAGCTCTGAAATTACATACTTGTAAGTGTGCATACTGATACATTAAGTGCCCTCACCTTCAGTGTACCACAGTGCATAAAATAGTATTACCATACATTTCTGGCACCCTCATCAATTATTATTAGCCATGGCTTAAAATTTTGACCAATTAATAAAGATCAAGAATTAATTATTCTGTTCTTTTTATGTTGCAAAAGTCTACCAAGAGTCCACATTTTATCTTCCTAGATTTAATCCACAAGAATTCTTGTATTTTCTTCCCCACACTGGTTAACTGACTTACTCAGACATTAGTTTCATAATTGGAACATTTAAAATGATAAAGAAACAGAGAAAAGTACCAAGGCATCTGCTACTGCCTCTTCCACGTCAGAGCCTGTGTTCAGGACTCGCATGGCACTCACAGAGGACGAGAGTCGGCTTGATTGGCTGATCCCATACCCTGGACCTATTTCATCAGGAAAAAGGAAAAGATCTGTGAGAGTCATAAATGTTACAGAGTCAGGATGGAAAACTTTAAGACCCGTAAGGGGGGGAAAAAAAACCAACGGGACAAAGCATTTTAAAAGCAATACTGTATACTTTGGGCACATTTAATTTTTGGCAAAATAAAACAGTAAGCACAATTAAAATTACTGACAATGTGTGGAAAATAAATTTAAAGAATACAGCTATATTTATGACCAGAAAGACAGAAGAAAGCATGGCTGACAGACTAAGGGCTTGCAAGTCTAGAGCCCTGTAATTCATCCAGTTTTATCCGTCAGGCAAATCTCATCTATATACATAAACCACACAGTAACCCAGGACAAAGATTAATCCTCAAATGGATAATGATTAGGGAGCTCAATGAAGTCATACCAGGAAATGACAATGAAAATATGCTCCAGTTATTATCTTTTCTCCTAAAAGTTATGTTGATTTAAAGTTCTGTAAGAAAGACATACCATTTGGTATTTGTTAAGTACCTATGTGCCCGGCATTCTGAGGTACATGAAGATAAAGCAGAGATGGATTCTACCCCCCACTGCTTTCTATTTCACAATTTACAATTAAAACACTTCATCCACCATTTTGGTTTTTTTTTTTTTTTAAAAACACAAGTACAAAGATGATGTACATAACTAAGAACACAAAACATTTCTATATTTTAAAACAACAGAATTTAGGTTACACAAAAGAATAATGTACATCTGCCAGTGAGAAAAATATTCAAATAAAGTTGCTGTAGGGGAAAAAAAAAATAACTTGGGTAGGGGATGACAAATGATTTATTCTCCAAAAATTAAACTCAAATTAAAAAATAAAATACAAATAATATTCCATGTAAACGGAAAAGGACAAAAATCTGAGATGAATGTACAGATGACAGTGAAAATGTACTCATCCTTCACCTGAGGCCCCATACACATCGGGGGCGTAGAGGGCACCAGTAGATCTGGAATGGTGTCTGGAGGCTGGAATAACAGGACCATACAAACCTTATCTATTACCACAGAAACAAGAAATAGTGGCAGCAGTACAGTCAAGAAGGGGAATTACTTAACACTGGTATTATTATTAATAGTTAAGGACCAGAATACTGCTAAACAGGGTGACTGAACATTAGCACTGAAACATCATCCTTGACAAACAAATACATCTTAGACCGATGTGAACAGACATAGGCCTTCAAAAAACAAAGAAGCTAGTATTCAAATGGAAAGATATGCCAAAAGTATAAGCATGAAACAACAAACAAACATTGTAGTTTAAAAAAAAAAAAAAAAAAACCACTATGGTAACCAGCAACTAATAATAATCTCTTTAATCCTGATACTGAATGAGGCATGGAGAAACTAAAGCCTAGAAAGGTTAATTAATTTGATCAAAGTCATACCACTAGTAACTGCTACAGATCAGTATCTGTACTCTTTCAAGGTCTTTGCACTTAAACAGCACATATACTACCTTCACGTTGTTCAACAGATAATACATCTCATTTATGTAAACACAAACATTTTCCATAATAGGCATGAAAAGTAAGTTGTACATTTAGTAGATTAAATATCAAAAGACATTTAAATATATTTTAAAAAGATATAAATATTTTATTTCTTTAAAATTATTTCTTTCAAAGAAACCCTCAAAATATGTGATGTGTCTCCCATATATATTGCTCCAGGACCTAAATTTAATATATATTGCATTTTAGATTTAAAATTCTGATGTGCATAAAAACATAAAGTCAATTTTTCTCTTAATATAGAAACAAATGAGCCAGAAAAATGTATCTTACTCTTTAATGACTCAGATTATTTTATTTTAAAAGTTACTCTTCCTCAAATATTTAAATTACAATGGTTAATTTTTTTTTTATAATAGCAGTCACTACTTTGTCATAGGACAAATCTTAATGAGCAGGAAAATGATCAAAAGATTGAGAGAAATAAGGATTAAAGAGAGTACCACACCAAATGTATAATGTGTCCCTCAAGGGTAACTGGTGTCTTTAGGAAAATACACTACAGTTCTAATTTTACTTAAGAGAAATATCTGTGGGAAAGAATCAAACAAATGTGGAACTATGTAGTGGATAAAAATCTCTGAAAAACTTTAAGGTATCAAAAGTTATCTGTGGCTGAAGATAACAGGTAAGAGGTGCCATTCATGTGCTTTTAATAAAGTAAACCATTTTTGAATCTTGGGCCCAGAAATAAATGGAAATTAAAAGTGTAAGTTCAGAGAAGTTTAGCTTTGCTCAGTTTTGATTAATTTTGGATGCTTTGGGGTTCTCACTCTGGCCTAATGCCACTGTTATTACTACGACCACATGGATGACAAGCTATGGGATTCATCTGCTGAAAGGCACTATTGATTGGCAACAAAAGGATGCACCAAATATACAAGACAGCAGAATGTAGGCAAATGTAACAGAAAATGAGAGAGAGGGCAACTTAATCTCAGGGAATGTTACTCTTTAAATCTGTGAAACAAATAGGGCTAATCTATTACCTTTGTTACACAGAGTAAATAAAAGAACTATCAAAATCAATTCTTCTAAAATTATGTGATTAAAAGACTTAATCATCTTTAGGCCAAACGGAAGTTACATTTGAATCAGGAAAACTGCTTCCTCTCATGTAAATTGTCAAAAAGAGGCTTTGTGAAAAATCTAGAAAATTAATGGCTAGATGACATATTTCTTAAGAAATAAGCATATTAACATCTACTTGCTATTAGTATTTGTTTATATTTCTCTCTGATTTCTGACTATTGTAGAACCTTAAAGGTAAAAAATAAAACAAAACAAAAAAAAGCTTATTTTAGTTTCTTCTTCATATCTCACATTTTCCAGTAGTGCTATAATATCCACCTTATACAAATGTAGATTATACCATTACAAAACTCTGAGATCCATGACACTCAAATATAAAACTATGGTTGGGTAAAGTGATCTGTGTTTTAGGAGGAGCAGATACAGGAGCAATAGCAATAGCAGTAGCAGTAGTGGTGGTAGTGACAGCCATGGCGCTGATCATGATAATGGAGTGCCAGACACTGCTCTGAAAATTTTTTCAAGTATTCTCTCATTTATGGAGTCTTCAAAACGATTTTTTTTTTTTTTTTCCAAAACGATTTTAAGAAATAGGTGCTGATATTATCTTCATTCTACAGCTAGGTAAACCCAGGCACTGAAAGGTTACAGAGTCAGGGCATAAACTGAAAAATATCTCTGGCCAAAGTACCTTTCATACATGGCCTTACTGATGCACACAGGTCTTTTTACGTTGGCATCTTTCCACTGAGGAGGAAGAAAAGATGGAAAAGAGGGACAAAAACACAAACAGTAAGGGTTGAGGATAGCTCTATGTCCCCAGATTAATGGGGTTTTATGAGTCAGTACAGGACAGCCACATATATATTTGAGCAAAATGGACCAGAGAACAAGAAGTTGTTCTTAGATGCCATCAACTTGGCTGATTCATTGTGACTCCATGTACAACAGAATGAAACACTGCCCCATCCTGTGTTATCCTCAAAATCCTTGCTATGCTTGAGCCCATCCATTTCGTTGATGATCTTCTCCTTTCTGCTGACCCTCTATTTTACCAAGCATGATTTCCCTCTCCAGTGACTGGTCCCTTATCACAACATGACCAAAGGAGGTGAGACAAAGTCTGGCCATTCTTGTTTCTTAGAAACATTCCGGCTTTACTTTTCCAAGACACATTTGTTCGTTCTTCTGGCAGTCCAAGGTATTTCCAGTACTCTTCTCCAACACCACAGTTCAAAGGCATCAACTCTTCTTTGGTCTTCCTTATTCACTGTCCAGCTTTTACACGCATATGAAACAAACAAACAAACAAAAAACCCAAACTCACTGCCATCAAGTCAGATCTGACTCATAGCAATCCTCCTTGGGTTTCCGAGGCAGTATCTCTATGGAAGTAGACTGCTCAATCTTCCTTCTGAGAAGTGGCTGGTGGGCTTGCACTGCCAGCCTCCTGGTTAGCAGTCAAATGCCTTACGTACTATGCCACCAGAGCTCCTACACGCATACAAGTGACTGAAAATACCATGGCTTGTGTTAGGCACACCTTAGTCTTCAACGTGATATTTTTGCTCTTTAAAACTCTAAAGAGGTATTTTGCAGCAGATTTGCCCAGTGCAATACAACCTCTGATTTATTGACTATTGAGTCTGCTTAGTATGGGGGGGCGCGGTTTGATTGTGGATCCAAGTAAAATGAAATCCCTGACTACTTCAATCTTTCCTCCATTTATCAGGATGTTGCTTACTGGTCCAGCTGTGAGGACTTTTATTTTCTTTATGTTGAGGTGTAACCAAACTGACAACTGCAGTCTTTGATCTTCATCAGTAAGTGCTTCAAGTCTTTTTTACTTTCAGCAAACAAGGTTGTGTCATCTGCGTATCTCAGGTTGTTAATGAGTTTTCCTCCAATTCTGATGGTGCATTCTTCTTCACATACTCCAGTTTCTTGGATTATGTGCTCAGCATACAGAGTAAATAAATATTGTGAAAGGCTACCTGATGCACACCCTTCCTGATTTTAAACCATGCAGTATCCTGTTTTTCTGTTTGAATGACAGCTTGTTGGTCTATGTACAGGTTCCTCATGAGCATAATTAAAGGCTCTGGAATTCCCATCTTTGCAATGCTACCTGTAATTTGTTATGATCCACACAGTCAAATGCCTTTGCATAGTCAATAAAACACAAGTAAACATTTTTCTGGTATTCTTTCCTTTCAGCCAAGATTCGTATGACATCAGCAATGATATCCCTTGTTAGATATCTTCTTTTGAATCCAGCTTGAATTTCTGGAAGTTTCCTACTGGTGTACTGCTGCTACTGGTTTTGAATTTTCCTTGCAAAATTTTACTTGCATGTGTAGTAATGATATTGTTCAATAACTTCCATACTCTGTTGGATCACCATTCTTTGGAGTGCACACAAATATCTATCTCTTTTAGTCAGCTGGCCAGGTAGCTGTCTTTCAAATTTCTTGCCATGAACAAGTCAGTACTACCAGTGCTTAATTAACAAGAAATTAACTACTAGAAATTCTACATTAACATGCTTATCTGGGGAAATAAGAATTCCAGCAATTCCTCCTCCTTTTCAGACTTCCCAAGGAAATTTTTAATTTTGATCCATGGCAATTACGGGTATTTGAGAGAGGAATTCATTACATCAAAGACAACAAGTAGAACTACATACCACTAAACAGTCCCAAAATCCACAGAGCAACTAAGTACTACAGTAAACTACATTTTGTAGAATTAAATGAAAATTTTGGAATGGCTAGAGATTACGGATATAAAGTATTAGTTAAAATGCTTAAAGATTAAGCAGAAATTCTAAGATCTCAAGGTAGAAATTCTTCCTCTCAGTTTTCCTAAAAGTATTAAAGATTTTTAAAAAAATCAATTAATATTTTTATAATTAAAGTAAATATAACATTATAGTCAAGTTTACAAAACAATCTCTAGTATCAGGGACATACAAGTTTTATAGCAGTGATGTGACATGAGTTAATATATGGGAAACGACTGTTAAACAATAAACTACTATAAAAATGTTAATCCCTACCCTTAATAAACCAAAAAAAACAAAAACCCTTAATAAGTAGTTCATATATTGTTTTCTAGCACTCTTGCTAAAAATCTAAGTTAATTACTCTAAGTAATAACGTTAGTAATTCTGTTGAAAAGAACAAAAGTCTTTATCAAATTAAATCATCCATATTCCTTGAGATTAAATCTTAAAATAATATCTTAAATTGTATAGCTTTATATGCTAGGAAAAACGTTAAATTCAATATTCTATAGTTTAAATCTGGGAGCTCTGGTAGCACAGTGGCTAAGGCACTTGACTGCTAACCAGAAGGCTGGCGGTTCAAACCCACCAGCCACTCCTCGGAAGGAAGGTTGGGCAATCCTACTTCCGTAGTGATACTGCCTCGGAAACCCAAGGAGGGGTCGCTATGAGTCGGGTCCGACTCGATGGCACATAACAACAACAACAACAACATAGTTTAAATCTGTGTGACATTTACTTGATTATGATGATTAACTTTCTAATTTAAGTCAAGTAAATATCAAAGCAATTTCCCAAACATGTAATTTCCTGCTTTCATAAAACATAAAATAAAAAACCCAGAAAAGAGATAGGGGCAAAGACACAGTCAATGAGAAGAGGGAAATCCAGAGTATGTTGAGATGATCAGACGCTGATAACACAGAGGGAGAGCAATGCCACCACTCACACCTGCCCAAGTACTCACCAAGGGGCTGAAAAGAGCGAACAGGACTTGTGTCTCTGCTGCTCTCTCGACTAGCTTCCCGGCTGCACCCCTGACTCACACTTGGTCGAGGAATACGGCTGCTTCGGGCTGGCATGAAGCAACAGCAGTGGAGATAAGAAGAAAACAAGGCATAGGATGAATTTTTTTTTATATGTGGGGTTTATTTTTCTTCTTAAAAACTAGTCAATAACTTATATTTTTCTAAAGTTGAAAATAAATTACTCTTGATGAGGCATTACAACAATACAGTTAAATTTCTTGAATGTGGTCCACTAGTTTCTATGAGAGGAGAGGGATAAAGGAATATTTTATTAGAAGAAAATATTTTAAAATTGAAGATTTAAAATACTGAACCACAAAGTAAAATTCAATTTTTTTTCAATGTTAATTATACATTATCTATCATATTTTTGGGAGCTCTGGTAGCATAGTGCCTAAGGCACTTGACTGCTAACCAGAAGGCTGGCGGTTCAGACCCAACAGTCACTCCTCGGAAAGAAGGTTGGGCAATCCTACTTCTGTAGTGATACTGCCTCGGAAACCCAAGGAGGGGTCGCTATGAGTCGGGACCGACTAGACGGAAAATAACAACAACAACAACATCATATTTTTGGTATCATAAGTCCAGATGTTTGTTTATTTTTAGATTTTTTTCTAAATCTTTAATATGGAAAAACATCTTCCCATATAAAATATTATTCCAAAGTACAAAATCTATTTTTAAGCTTTCAGTTCAAGATAAAGATAGAGAGGAGAAATGAGCTCATACTTTTTAACTTCCATCCCTCTCCTGACTCTCCTCACAAATAAAACATACAAACACAAGTAGAGAAAAAAGTAAGTCGCAGAAAATTTATGGGCAAAGATTGACTAAAAATGGAGTAGAGACTTGAAAATGAACAGAAGCAGATTCAGCCTCGATAAAAATTTTAGAGGCTCTGGGCTCAGATATAACAAATATCAAGGGAGCATAAGTGAAAAATGCTAATGACAAAAGGACATTAATTCAACATCTGTAGGCCTAAAAGAAGTCTGTGCCACCCACTAAATAAAGACATTCTCTAACAAGGCCTCAAATAGCTCAACTCCTACACATAATCTTAGGATTTATTTGAGAATGTGTATGAGCAAAACAAGGGAGTAAATCAAGAAAAAAAGAGGATCTAGGAAAGAGAGAGGGAAGGAGGGAAGAAGGAAGACAGACTGATACTAGATCCATGGGGGCAATGTTGATCAATCGACCTCTGGATCAATCAATTACGAAGGCTGTATTACTTCCAAGCTTTTCAGTTAAGAGGCAATAAATCCCCTTTTATTATTTAAGCTGGCTTCAAATGCAACTGAAATTAAAAGTATCCTAACCAATACACAGAGGAAAAAAAAGTTTATTAGTATTTGAACAGGATTGATCTGTAATATAAATGAGCAGTTAACATAATACATATATGTGTGTGTGTATATATATATA